TGCTTATCACCTGCGTTTGTACGTCATGTGTTTGTGTATTTGCGTTTGTGTGCATAAACAGAGAGAGAGAGAGAGAGAGAGATGGAGACTGGATGGGAGAGAAAGAGGAGTTTTGTGAGTGGGTGACTGCAATATGACTGCTTCAGAACCCATCAGTTATAATAAGGAGACAATCAGTTACAATAACAAATTTGTGGCTGTCATAGTGCATTGTGTATAATAGACACTTTGCTTTCACAGTTTGATGTTTCAGATATTGACTATTTTCAAGGAACTCCACGGGTCTAGGCATAAAAGGCATAAAATGAAACCACTGACTTACAATGCGATGAGTAAGGACTGACTGAACTAGTGAGTGCAGCCAAACACCTAGGATTGACACCGCAGTTCCGCTTTATTTTCTACTCATTATGCAGTATCTCTGAAGACGTTAAAGTTTACTAAATTGGTATGGAGTAAATTATACGCTATTTGTAGGTTTAGGAATTTGTGGAAGTTTTGCAATAGACAGTTCTTAAATACTATCTATACTCTATAAGGAAAAGAGCGGAGTTGCTTGCTGAAGACTGCCACAGAAAATTCTTTAAAATTAAAAATAGTCTTTAGTCACACAAAATTTTTGATGCATAAAATTTTATTTGATCTAAGAACATCACAAGAATATATCTTCTGCAAATATGGATTATAAAGTGTTTTGACAAGAAGAACCTCTTATATTTCATTTTGAACCTAATAGTAAGAAGGAAATGAAATCTTCCTAATCAGAATTGATAGGGGCTAGCAGATAAAAATGCTAAACTTCCGATCAGTGGTGGCAAACATGAAGTACTTACAGATGAAGCCCAACTCTTGTTAATACAGGAGTGATAGTAAACTGGCTAATTAGTAAATCTTCTTAATTAGAAAATAAGAAAAATCACTGAATACTGTCAGATTGATGACATACTTTACTTGGTCTGCAGAGCATTGCAAAATAATATGAACATTGCATCGTAAATCCTTTAAATGGGCCCCTTGCCTAAATTAATTACAATTTAACCTAACCAGATGTGGCCAACTCAAAAAAAGTTCCACTGTAATTTTAAAGTGCCTTTGGATCTTAGCTATTTGGTACTCATATACATAAACTAAGACTTTTTTAGTTTAATAATGTCTGCCAACCAATACTTTCCTCCACATTTAGATTAAAAAAATGGATGTTTCATGTGAGTTTATATTTCATGATGATTTGATTTGTAAGAATTTTCACTTTATTAACAGTTTGACACATTGGACACTTAAGACACATTGGACACTTAAAATAGGTTGTTCGTTGTTGTAATGCAGTAGGTTAATCTTAGGGATGCAATTCCCACTTATCAAGCCCATTTAGGAAATGTAACTCTATTGAGAAAATGACAAAGATAACAAAAGACAAGAGTAACTCATCCCAGCGGGATTTTTACACTGGCAATTTAAAATCTTGTCTCTGGAACCATTTTTCCCTATACACTTTTACGTAAAGTCTAGTCATAATTGCTTACCTGTAGAATTGATAAAAACAAAGAATGTTGACTCAAAGAAAAGAACTTAAAATAGTAACAGGCATTTGCAAGAGACAATCCAATGCACACCAACCTCTGTGGAAGGCAAAATCTAGCAACCATTTATGAATATTCTGGTGGTTAGAATGATCCTCCTCCCTTTTCTCTGGATGGCACTTCTCTCTCTTAGGAGACTGGAGGCATCATCTTACTAGCAGGCTGCACCAGTGCTCCTTTAGAACTAAGTCTGCAATTCTTTTAACATTGCTTGACTTTTGTGAATGAGCCCTGCAGGAAAACTGAGGCTCATCGTTCCCTGTGGTGTGCACATTTGACAAGTCATTTCTCACTTCTGAGATCACTCGGGGGAATAGAGAATGATTGGAGGAGTCAAGATGAATCAGAGGAAGATTTCTTTTACTCAGCTTCCCATCATACTGTGCATTTCTGCATCTATTTAAAAATTAACTTGTAACCCCTAGTAATAGTCCTCTCTTAGTCACGCACATAGCTTCCTTTAAGACTGTTATTCTTACCTAGTGTTAATCTCACTCAGAGGTGATTTTGACTTGTTAGAGTGATGATATGTGGGACTCCAAGGAATATCAGGTTAGTTTTAATCTTTCGATATGGCCCAAATGGAGTAAATGTGTGTTTGTGACTGTGTGCGCCTTGAATATATCTATTTTAAAATTAATTATGTTATCTGACGACTTTTCACCTAGACTTTAATGGAGAACTTTTCTGTGGTAAATTCAAGAAAAATTTCTTGAAAAATTCTTGGGAGATTACTATCTTTTTATATTTATCCTTAAAGTCCTGGCAGTAGCTTTGAACTGCTGAAACAAACAAGTAATGTTAGTCTGCAATGATCTCCTTCTTCCTTTGCTCTTATTGTGTTTTATTTTTCTAATTTTGGATGTAACTGGCAAGGCATGACTGTGTTAGGTGTCAGATTAATTTTCTAAAATTTGTGGCAATATGTGTTGATTCATTCTCTAATGACATTAAATTTCCACAAAGTAACTCTCAGGGTAGTTTATTGGAGATAATAAAAATCTTTAAAAGTTATAAATATAGATTTATATTTCTACTTATGCTGGTATCTACATATGTGTATAAATAGAATTTGTTCATATTTAAAATGCAGAAATATTATGGTTTAAAATAAGCAAAATGAGCATGACTAGGACATTGTGCTATATACCAGAAACTGATGCATTGTAACTGATTGTACTTCAATTAAAAAATTAAAAAATAAATAAAATAAACAAGATGAGACCTAATCAAATAATTTATTAAAGAACTTTTAATGCTATTATATTGTAAATTAAATTTCATACCAGAGGAACCCATGCATGACATAGTAACATTAACAACTTACTCACATTTAAAATTTTTTCTATCAGAGTTATGCTGTTTTCTATCAGAGTTATGCTATCTGTAAAATTTTGCCTGTTTTTCCTTCCATTATTGGTATATTATGAATATAAAATATGCTAAGATATTCTTAAGGCACACAATTAGCATATCTATTTTTAAGTATTAAAAAGTACAGCAGTATATTCTTTTTTGATGTTATTTTAAAAATGCCCAGCAAAAACTAAAGGGATGAAAAAGAAGTAAGAGGGATTCTTAGTATTTGTTAAATAAGAGCAATTAAGCGTCATTTGATAGTCATTGGAAATTTTTATGTAACATTCAATAATTAACGATAGAAACCAAATTGTTTTATATAAATTTTTACTAATATTTAAAAAAAACTTGTACTTAAATTTGTCAGTCTTACAATGTCCTTGAGAATTCTATAGCCATAGATATTACCAATGACATCTAGGTATGAAAGATTAACATAGCTTGTTTAATGCCCTAGCATTAAGGGTGAAGCTAAACCAAATAACCCAGATTTTCTCATTTCCTAACAGATATCTTAGTTAATTGACCGGGCTGTTTTTTAAAGGTAGTATTTCTCAAAGGCAATGACTTCGTGATTAGTTATAGTGCTTTTGTTGGTTTGTTTTTAAAAAGTGAATGTCTTCTTTCTGTATTTTGATTTTATTTACCCTTTGAAGATCTATTTAATTGTTTTGAATTCACTTTTGGAATTTTTCCAAGAAATTTTATTTTCAGTGACTTCTACAGTCTTTTTTTCCTATATTTATGATAATATATTAAAAGGCTGTTAGAATATCAGTATTAAGTGAATATGTTAATAGAAATTAATATAGTATAGAAGAATACTTATATGAGGAAATCATATTTTTATTTAACAAAAATTTAAGACAAATGAACAAACTAACCAATTTATAAAACCAAAAACTTCTAAATAGACTGTAACATAAGGTACCCAATATTTGAAATTTCTTCTAATATGAAAGATATATAGGATGAATTTGAATTACCTAGTGTCTGAAAAGATTCTCGGCTTTCTATGATTTTTTTTTTTTTAGTTGAAGTATAGTCAGTTACAATGTGTCAATTTCTGGGGCACAGCACAATGTCCCAGTCATGCATATATACATATATTCATTTTCCTATTCTTTTTCATTAAAGATTATTATAAAATATTAAATAATTCCCTGTACTATAGAGAATAAATTTACTTTTTATCTATTTTTATATATGGTGGTTAACCTTTGCAAATATCAAACTGACAAATTTTTTCCTATTCTTTTTCATTAAAGATTATTATAAAATATTAAATAATTCCCTGTACTATAGAGAATAAATTTACTTTTTATCTATTTTTATATATGGTGGTTAACCTTTGCAAATATCAAACTGACAAATTTATCCCTTCCCACCTACTTTCCAATGGAATAGGAGAAAATATTTGCAAATGATGCAACTGACAAAGATTTCCAGAATATATAGACAGCTTATACAACTTAATAACAAAAATACCCAAACAGCCCAATCCAAAAATGGACAGAAGACCTAAACAAGTAATTCGCCAATGAAGACATACAAATGGCCAATAGGCACATGAAAAAATGCTTAATATTGCTAATTTCCCTGATTTTTAAACTCCATATTTAGAAGTAAAGCAGTAATTCATCTGAGTCAACAGTGAGGGTAGCAACATAACCCACTTTATCTTGAATCAGAAGAGGTTTACTATAATAGGTTTGCTGCTGCAAAGCCCTTTGTGGTTGCTGCTAATTACATTTTTCACTTCAAATTCTTTAAAAGGGATATAGGTACAAAATGACTCAATAAATATTTATCAGGTGAGGGAATTCCGGAAGGTCTCTGGGCTTGGAAAAATGCATATAAGATACCAGTAACATCTTTATTATGGATTTTTCACTTCAGCTGAATACAAAGATTCCTGTCTTCCTATATTATTGGATCACATCTTGAAATTACATACACCAAACAAATGATGCTATAGAGAATGTGTAGCACTAATGTTTTAATTAAAATACAAAATGATCATCTGCACGAGGGTGTAGTTAAGCATTTGATGACTTCTAATTATAGTGGTAGTAATGTTTTTATTTGATAACTAGATAACTGGGTGATTAAAAACATGTAATTAAAGAAAAGTCATATCCTAATTTATAAAGGCAATGAAAACAAAGACCACAGCCAAACCCCATTGAAAAGTAGTTACTACACAATTATAATGAGATACATTTTTACCATACAAGTATATCTTATAAATCAAATCTTGTCCTATGCTTTCTCATTAAAATACTGAAGACTGAGTGGTAAAGTAAGTCCCATATCATACACATAGTACAAAATGATTTAACCCCCATGAGTTTTTTGCCAGCCCAACATCATTGTGAGTGGTATAGGGTGAAGACAGTGTTGGAAGATGTTATAGAATCAGCATACAAAGTTCTAAAGATTAAGGCCAGAACTCCACTTCATTACTCAGGAGCAATGAATTGCTGAGCATAGGCATATTATATTTTTTACTACCTGTGTGATCACCCCATTGCTCACCAGATGTAAGTGGGCAGAATCCTTTACATGTCGTCCACTTTGAAGCCGAATGTGAAGGATGGTGTAGCTCAAGGTACCGTGGTTCCTGAGATAGGAAAAGGCCTCAGTGTAGGCTGACAACCATGAAGAAAGAAACTGGTCCAAGTCGGAGCCTTTACCTCCGAGTTCAAGAACATACAAGAGTTGTATTTTGCCTGGTGAACTTGACTGAAAGGGGTCAAATAAGGCCACTCAGCTAAAAAAAAAACAGTGCATGGCCTATATATATCCACAGACACAGGGACTTTCTAGTCTTCTCTGTAAAGATTTACTCTTTCTTGTTTTTATGAAGCAATATGAATACTATGAGCAATACTCCTTTCTTTGTCGCTGACACAAATGTACTTTCCAATCCACCAAAGGAGCTTGAAATGTAACTGTCCCTTTTAGAGGGACACAGACCTCTTCCTCCTTCTGGCAAAATCTTCTGCCTGAATGAAGTTGGAGAGAGCCTTGGTGAGGTCTGATGTCTCGGTGCTGCTCCCAAAGTCGTAGTTCTTCAGGCAAGGACACAAGCAGTGCACAATGGCCCGGCGGATGTAGCTGTCAAATATATAGTAAATGACAGGATTGACACAGCTGTTGGCAAATGCCAAGGGCCCAGTCACCTCCATGCCCTGGTGGAGAAAAGCTGAGGAAAAGGAGAGTTCTTGCTGCAACCCGGAGACAATAGCCAGGAGCTTGAAAGTATTAAAGGGTAGCCAGGAGCAGACAAAGGCTGCCACCACAATAAAGATGATCTTGATGGACTTTCTCAGCTTTTTGTTATGCTTTCCCGACTGCTGGTAATGAAAACACAGCTTCTTTGTGATGCAACAGTAGCAGGTCACAATGCTCACCAGAGGGGCAAAAAATGTAAAAGTCAAGGCCACCAGGGCCCAAGCCAGTTTAATTGAAGTGGCCCTCTTCTCTGCACAGTATGGCTTACCATCAATCAGGGTAAGCTCCCTGGACAGAAGAGTAGGTAACCCCAGGAGGCAGGAGATAAACCAGACGCTGGCACAGACTCCATATGCACAGTCTCTCCTTCTGAACTTCCTGGATGTGGCTGGACACATGATGGCCAGGTAGCGGTCCACACTCATGCAGGTGAGCAAGAAAACATTGCAGTGCATGTTGACTGAGATCATGTAGGAGCTGCCTTTGCACAGGAAAGAGCCTGTCCTCCACAGTCCTAAAGATGCTTCTTTATCCACCCAGAGAGGCAAAGTGACGAGGAAGATGAAGTCAGAGGCAGCCAGGTTGATGATAAAGATGTCGATGAGCCTTCGGCTGCCCCGTTTGAAATGCAGTGCGCTCATGAGGATGAGGTTCCCCAACGCTCCAATCAGGAACACAGCTGCGTAAAAGATAGGAAGGAAGACTGATGTATAAGTAACATGAGAGTAGGTCTCCTCGATATCTGGATCTGGGCTTGTGGCATAGAAATAATCTGGATAAGCCAAGGTGGCTTCTGGGGCCATCACTGGGTCCATCAGGTGGCAAACCTGGTAAGTTTCCTTACCTAGGAAGGTTTTGCATAAATTTTAGAAATCTCAAGACAGCTTCTTTTATACAGTGCCTGCACCACCCCCTTCCTTAAAAGACCTTGGGACCATCATAAAAACAGAGATTAAAAAATGCAGTTTCTACCAATCCTCAGAAAGGGCCTACAAGGAACACCACCCTGATTGTTTTTGGGTGATTGTGGTTATGGTTTTCTTCATTTGCATTTGCCCAGGAAACTGAGGTGCTTTTTGACTTCTTTTTTTAAGATATACAATTTGTTTCTTTAAATCCAGAAATTAGGAAGTGAATTAATTTTTCTTTTCCTTACCTACTTTAAAGACATTGTTTTTCTGACATTAAAAGTCCTTCTGATCTAGCCTCCTGTTTCACCTGCAGGATATGGTTTACTTTTAGGATTTTCAGGTGGTGATATGGAGGATACCCTTTATTTACATCATGGTGAAATGTGAAGAAAATAGTCTTTCATCGCATAAAGAATTGAAATTTTCCCCAACCATACCAGTCCGCATCTACGGCAAACATAACGATTCCAGTTAGGGTATTAGGTACTCCCCATTTATTTGACTCTTTCAGTTCATGCATAATTGATCTTGTCTCATTCAATAAGTTGTTAAAAATACCCGGAAGGCTGGAGCCATGTCTTGTGCCTTTATTATTATTTGAAAAATTTCCAGTACAATTAACACAGCATCTTGCACGTAATAGGTGATTTGGAAACATTAATTTTTTGAGCTGATTAGGAAAACTCTCATTTTTGTGATCCAGTATAACTTAGCAAGGATGAATTCATTGGGGGTTAACTGCAGGCATTGTTATTTATGGAGCTTACAGACACAGGTTTAAAAATCACAAACTGCTATTTTTTTGTGCTTATCTGTTATTATAATTCAACCAATGAAATTTAGTTTAGTTTAGTTTTGTTTTGTTAGCATTAACATCCTTGAGTAGGACATTTTCTCCCTACTAATCCTCGAATAACTATCCTTTATCAGACTCTGGAATTCCTCTGACTTTCTCTTCTTTACACCTCACCTTGATAGAAGTGATTTTGTTAGCTTTTGAGCTATGACTTTTCCATAAGGGCCTCCACACATCTGTGAACTTCACTCTTGGAATTATTGACTTGGCAACAGACAGACTTTTATTAAGTGACATTACAATGGAGTTGCCAGTATAGGGAAGATTTTGGGTTCATCCAAAACACTTAAGAAACTGGCTAACATTGAAAGGATCCTATCATATTTTCCCCCTCATCTGTTCCCGTTTATTTAGGAAGACCATAGTAAAAGATGACAAATTCTGCAACTGACTCCTTTTATCCTCTTATTTCAATTCCTCCTGGCCAAGGTGGCTCAAGGCTCATGTACACTTTCCTGTCTTTCTCTTTCCTGCCATCCCATTTCATCACCAAAATTAGTTTCAGGCTGATATTACTATTGTATATGTGAAAGTATAATTGTTAAACATTTGAAGTCCTTTCTACTGAATTTTTATTTCTTCCGTAATTCATGTATTAAAAAGAACGATACTGCCTGCTGTACTCCCTCCTTCTCCCTTCTTCCTGAGGTGCTCTGTCGTCACCTCAGTCTCAGGCATGTGAGTCTAGGTCAGGGAGGGATGAGGCTCTCCTGATCTGGGGCAGCCTCCAGAAGTTGCTTGGGAATTGACTTATGGGCCTGGGCCTGCCTTCTTTTGGGTCCTTAGCTGCTCTGTGTTGTTTCTGGAAGGAGTGGGGGAGGGCACATCCTTCACCAAATATAGGCTGCAGAGGAGATCAACTAATTAACTTTTTGACATTTCTGAAATAGAAATCATTCCCACTGGGGTAAGCCTTAAATATTTAATAGAATAATTCATTTTGTCAAATAGTTTGAAGCAGGACAACATTTACTTGAAAAGGATTGCTAGAGTAAACATGGAATATTTAAATATTTAAATGCTGTATCTATATATGTGTGTGTATTAAAGAAACAATTATATATATTTAAATTTTACTTTATTTGTAATTGTATTTTACTCATATTATTAGAATTTTGCATTCTGCAACTAGAAGTTCTCCTGGTTTTTTTGAAAGATAAGGTTGATTCTGGGCCTAAGATACTAAAAAAATTTTTAGGTATGTCTCAAGAATTCCACATGAAAAGTACTACAAAATGGAAAAGAGTTCATGCTCATACTCTGGAGGAAAACATCTGGCTGTACATTTATTCTGAAGACCTTAAATTTTCTTTCAGCATTCCAAAGTTGTTGGCCTGCTAATGTAAACTGTCTCAAATGAATCTGACTTTCTCAGTAAACTCTGAAGCAGCTGTGGACAAAATTATTTGCTTTATCACATATAGTCACTTTAGACTATGGTAATTAGTGATCAAGTGCTACAATATGAGAATACCCATCAATATCTTGGGACCTAATTTGGAAAATAAATTGTGCTAAAATAAAGGAACAAATAGCATAGCTCTGGTCTTTTAATAACTCAGAGTGCAAAGCTATTATAAGACAGAACCCACAATAAAAGCTGACTAGATAAAGTAGGGGAGGTCATAGTTCTAAATAAGCTTGGAGCAGCAATCATTTTTAACTTTGAATGCTCCTTGAAATAAACATGAGGAAGCTAACAGTAAAATGACCAACCACATACAGACTGAAACTCAAAAACAACACTGGATACAATAAGCATACGAAAAGGCAGTATGAACAGGGTGATGACCAAAAAAATAAAAAGAGTAAGCTGTAAATATCAGTAACTGAATGACAGCACATGTCACCTCTTCTGAATTGTCTTTCCAGAAGAAAACAAACAAAAAACCCAACAAAAATCCACTTAAATTTCTTCCTTCATCCCTGGCAGAGACAATTGCTTTCACCTTTGTGTTCTCCAAGAACTTTTACAATACTGCTTATAAAGTACTTATTACCTCATTTCACCTGCTTAGTTGTTCCGGTGTCTGATCTCCTGACTGATCATGAGCAACTTGAAGGCAGAGACCATCTGTTATCTTTCCATGGGCCTCCAGCTTATTGTAGTTACCCAGCCGAAGTCTTTTTGGGTCTCTTAAAGCCATTGTTTTGAACCTGGATGCCAAATCACTTTACCCACTTTAGAGTCACCTGGGGTGCCCATCAAACCGGAGCTTTCTGAACCTGGTCCCAGATCTACTGAATCAGAGTCCTTAGGAGTGGAGCCTAGTACTTTACATTTAACAAGTATTCAAAGTGATTTGTACACACACTAAAGTTTAAAATCACTGTTCTAATATATAATCCTAACTAACCTTATACATTATGCTTTGTTATTATTTTGGCTAATTTTTTTAAGTTTAAAAATCACCTCTAAATTTGAACTTCTTAGAAGTCTTCTGGACTAGCTTGCACAAAACTTTAGGAATTAATTTAGACATCTGAACACTCCCTATTTTGCATTCCAATTCCTGAGATATGTTCAGAATCGGCTCAGATGTTGACTACGGGGAGAGAGTAAGATTTTGTCCACCAATGCTTCTGTTCAGGTGAATCTAGCTATCTAGTCACATAGTCATCGCTGCGACTTGCAGCCTTTGCTTCACGGGTAGACTGAAGGTTTTGTGTGAATATAGCCACCTCAACTGGCATTGTGATATATTACTTCTGTTTCTTCCCTATCAACCACTCTGGCCCTGTATTAGATAGGATTCATCAGATTAAGTAGCATATAGCACAACAGAAAGAAATCTCTGTTCACATATGCTCCACTGATACGCCCCAGAATTAATGGCAAAGATCATGATTATTATTTGGTTTTCATAAATCTTATCAATCAGACAGAGTGATTATATGTTTGTTAGAAACACTCTCTTGTCCATTTCTTACTTGAGTATCATAAAATATATAACCATTTAAATAGTCCAGTTTAAGAAATCTGTTTACACTCTAAAAGTTGATGGGTTTTTTTGTTCTGAGAGTTACTTGAAGAGTCTAGTGCAATATAATGTAATATATATTGCCAAATTATGTGGCATCTATTTGCCATTATCAGGGTCCTCCCCCACTTCATTATACTTACCTTGGTACCCCATACATACACAGCAGTGATGTTACTATTTTAGGCACATATACTTCAGGTTTTTTCATAATTGTTGATTTAATCTGGGTTTAAGTTTGTATAGCAAAAACAGTGTTTCTTTATATTGGTGTCCCTGGTATCCTGCATAGTGTTTGGTGGTCAATAAATGTTTGTAGATTTGGACTGAATTATGCTTGAATTTTGAGTCATTTCCAGTGAATAGGGAGTTTCCCAAACTTCTTGGACAGCTTCCACTTTCTATGATTACTGTTTATTGTTGAAATAGCAAAGGTCTGTGTTGCTGTATCTTTTCTAATCAGAATGCATACAGCCTTCCTCCTTTTCCTTTGTCCATCTGCATTTCCCACTGTCTCTGCCTTCTTGAATATTGCCTAGGCTGGAGGTGTAGGCCACTTAACTCCCCAGTGAAATTTTAATGCTGTGCATCTATGAAAACCACATTTTGGAGCTACATTGTTCTTATCTCAGCAGAATTATAAATCACGAAATTTTAGAGCTTCAAATGACATAAGTGATAACCAATACAACCATTTTACTAATGAGGACACCCAGAAAGAGGTCATTTACCAAAGATTCACACTGATGATTTTAACATAAGTACAATTTAAATTTAAACTTCTCATCTACATATGGTCATTCTCTGTCCTTCAGAAGCATGGTCTACTATAGTTTGCTGCTCTGTGTTGCGTTTACTCTGTGCCGAGTTACTAAAACGAAAGAGCCATTTTAGATGCACTTTTCTATTTGCCTTGTCCTTGATTAATTTTGCTGTTATTCTATAGTGAATTGGTACAAAGAAATTGGTGCCTTTTTTTGAAGATAGTTGTTAATTGGAACCCAGAACTTGCATATATTTCTATTTCCTTCCATTCTGATTCCAAAATTCATAAGGAAAATAACCAGGATAAAATTATGTGAGAAAAATACAACATAGATACATCTTGCTTAACATAATTTTTAATTCTGAAGAAAAGTACAATTAAAAATAATATTTAAACATATTAGGGAATTTTGTATTGAAGGGAATTCTTGCATAGTTGTTTTGTAAGCACATAATATAAAAAATTATAATATCTGCATGTCTAGATTTTTGGTTGTTGGGTTTATTTAAAGTGTAATGTAATTATTACATCTTCTTGCAGAAACTAGGACCATCTTTAAACAAATTAAGCCAGAGGTCTAGTTCAACTTTGCTTTTAAATCTAAATTTCATAATCTGAACCTGTTGTGCTAAATCATCTTTAACATTTGTGAAAAATGTCAGGCTGGCTACTATTTCCCAAACAGCATAGTAAGAAATGGAAACAGAAATTGAAATCCATTAATTTATTAAGGATTTATTTTGCCTATCCACACAATGAAGAAACATTAATAGAAGATAGAAACACCCAAAATGTAGAGATACATCAGATGTGGTCGTGTGCTTGGTGGTACTGGGTGTGACGAGGTGGTTCAAATTCTCTGTGCTGAGTGGGCAGGATGGTTACAACCTCAAATACACAGACACTTCCAGGTCCATACTAAACTGCTGATTGAAATGTGTCTTGTTTTTTTCTAGGCATTCTGCAGACTTGATGGATGAAAGCATCATCCTCCTTTGCCGGTCTCC